GGAGTGGAGACATATCTACAAAAGAGTCGGAGGGTGTGCAGGAACAGTGACTTTGACTGGATGACTACTATATATGTTCTGTTAGGAATGTAAGTCACCTAACAGCTATTTGGGCTGAAAATATATAAACCAGGATAGACATTTTAAAACTTTCTTTAAGACAATCCTAAAAGTGTAATTGGGTATGATTTCTCAAATGGCCATAAGATGAAGCCAGAAACCTGGGTTTTTTCTGTCCCTTCCTTCCATCCCCCCTTTCTTTGTCTGCCCCTTTATCATTCTTTCCCTTTTCTCTTTTCTTCTTTCTCTCTTTCTCTCTCTCCCTCTCTCCCTCTCTCAGGCTCACCCCATTGACTTGGTGCACTGCTTCGCTCAGACTTGCTTGGGCAGGTCCCTCCAGTGCAGTGGGCTCAATGGGATGGACCTGCGGGGCCAGCACTTAGAACGTGGCAGTGGCGGCACGTTTCAAAAGTAGAGCAAAGCCAGGGGTCAGTAATTTTTGCTGCAAAGAATCACAAAAGCTTCTGGGCTGTGCACAAGAAGGGACACAAATGTCAATGCAATTCAGCAACATAAAATAAAGAAATACATATAAAACAAATCAACAAGAATCGGCAAAGCATCTCTGATTAGATTCTATTCACTACTAGAATCTAATCAGGGATGCTTTGCTGATTCTAGTGCAATGACCTGCTCCAGCAGGGTTAGAAGGGTGTGTGTGTGTGTGTGTGTGTGTGTGCGCGCATTGCTGTCAAAACTCCAAAAACAGGTCAAGTAGCTCTGGGGAGGCCAGTCATAAATTAGAACCCTTGCTAAACAACCAGCCATTAAGTGAGGATCACTTGTATTTGGTTTGCCAGTTACTTGGCCACGCCCACCCAGTCACATGACCACCAAACCACACCCGGTCATGTGACCAGCAAGCCACGCCCAGCCAGCAAGCCGCGCCAGCTAGTCACGTGACCAGCAAGCCACGCACACCCAATCATGTGACCAGCAAGCCACGCTCTCAAAATAGGTCATGCCCACAGAAATTTGAATCCCACCCCTGAGTGGGGGGCACCGAGGATGAGTTTGTAGCACCAAGGGGGCAGTGGACTGAAAAAGTTTGGGAAGCACTGCTCTAATTCATGGCAGCTTCTTTCTATCGCTACGAGATGGGTTAGGAGATAACCACTTTTTACTACAAGGCAGATATACAAATGATTGGTCATTAAAGAAGAACTTCATCACGAACGTGAGTTATGAAGATACCTGATGAACCAATAAATGTAATTTGTTATGGACGTCTTGTTGAGTTATCTCTCTGCATCTGTACAGCTTCAAATCCACCTCTGTGCAGAAGGCAGAAAAGTAAAAGATGAAGTCCTGAAACCCATCTGTATAAAGTTTGTTAATTTGGATATGTGATAATGCAAAGTAATATTGAAGCCAGGAGTGAATATGCAATGTTAATCTAAACCTGCTGGTCTGGGCTTCTATGATCATACTTTTTAGAGTTTCCCAAGATTCTTGAGTTGTTTTCCCCTTTAGGATTTTTATCCATGGAATCTTCCTCAAGCTCTGAGTTTATTGAAATCAGCTCTTTTAAAATCCAAGACTCTGGTGTCATTATGTTCTGTTGCTTGTGTTTGTGTTATGTTGAATTCTAGTATGACATGGTCACTCTCACCCAAGGTTCCTGCAATTTCAACTCCCTCTATCACTTCTTCTCTGTTTGTAAGAATTAAGTCCAGTATGCCTGTCCCTCTAGTTTCACCCTCTACCTTTTGGACAACAAAGTTGTCAGCTATGTTGGTTAGGAACTTATTTGATTTCTCACTTGGTACAGAATTAGTTTTCCAATTGATATCAGGATAATTGAAATCTCCCATTATTACTGTTGTGTGTTTCCTGCATATGTTTGTTAGTTGGCTGGCAAAAAGGATATCTATTTTCTCTGCTTGATTGGGTGGCCAATAACGTACACCTATGACCATGTCATTCTTTTTTTCTTTTATATTGACCCATATGCATTCTAGGAGGTTTTCATCTTTGGTTTCATGCATTTTTGTAGCAATATAGTGGTCCTTTACATACAGTGCAACTCCACCTCCTCTTTTCTGGTTTTTTTGAATAGTTTGTATCCTTCTACCAATATGTTCCAATCTTGGGTTTCATCCCACCAAGTTTCTATTATTCCAACTATATCATATTTACCTTCATGTATTCGTAGTTCAAGTTCATCCTGTTTGTTCCCCAGACTTTGTGCATTTGTATATAGGCACTTGAGATCTTTATGTCTGACACTGTGTTTACTGTCTACATAACCTGTGTTGTGCCTGCCTGCCCCTACTTTCTTGCCACCTGTTTGATTAGTGCACATGGTATGATACTCACTATTAAATGCTTGGTTTTGGTTGGCATCAAGGTAGATAATCTTACCTGCACAAACATCTATTTTGCATGCACTGCTATCCTTATTAGTTTTAGGTTGCTGGGGACAGAAATGTTCTGAATCCATTAATTCGCTGTCCCCGCTGTTCAGTTTAAATGTTTATCCAGGAAATCTGTGAATTTAATGCCAAGTAACTCATTCTCTTTCTTTGATGGATGCAAACCATCTCTTTTGTACAGTTTTTCATTGGACCAGCTGCAGGCATCATGACTAATAAAGCCAAAGCCTTCCCTTTTACACCACTCTTTTAGCCACACATTAAACTCTGCTACATGCTGCCCTTTTCCTTTTTGTTCCTTGTAGACTGGTAGAACCTCTGAAAAGATAAGCCTGCAGCCCATATTACTAAGTTCACACCCCAAGCTCTGGAAGTCTTTCTGAACAGAAAGTACATCCTTCTGGGACAGATCATTTGTACCAAGATGTATAATAGCATCAACATCACAGTCCTTGCTGGCATTCTTGACTATCTTAAGAATACGCTTCTTGTCTCTGCTGGCAGTAGCACCTGGTAGACACCTGACTTCTTTCAAAACCTCAGTATCCTTTCCTAAATTTATATCCCTTACAATTGAGTCCCCAACCAGAAGGTGGCTTCTCTTTTTGGATGCCTTGCTCTTCTTAGCTGCCATTCAAAACTTATCCTGCATTGTTAATAAAAAGGTGTTAATGTAATATTATATACAGGGTCAAAACTGTGTGTCCTTCTAAGATTGTTACAGCTATCTTTAACCAGGAAAACCCTATTTTGTTGAAACTTTTTCATATTTCTGTCTTGGGCCTCTCATTTTTGGGCCTCACATCCTTGCCCAAAATGCCTGGAAGGCTGTCTGATAGACTTGTCAAAGAATTTGAACCAGGCCAGCAGTTGGTTCAGGTCTAATGTCCTTTTCCTTTTGCATATAAATTAGCTAGAAAGTTTTGCATATTTAAGTATCAAACTTATCCATTAGGAACAGAAGGGGAGGGCTGTAATATTTTAGTAATGAACTCAATTTCTGAGAGGGACATCTTCACTGTGAATACTTTTATACTTGTTGCTTGATATCATGTGCCTTTGTTTTCCGAAAGTGTATAAAAGCTACACCAATTTGTGTACAGGCAGTCCTTGACTTACAACCATTCATTTAGTGATCGTTCAAAGTTACAATGACACTGAAAAAAGTGACTGATGAGCGTTTTTCATACAACCGTTATTGCATCCCCATGGTCACGTGATCAAAATTCAGATGCTTGGCAACTGACTCTTTATAACAGTTGTAGAATCCTGGGTTAACTTGATCACCTTTTGCGACCTTCTGACAAGCAAAGTCAATGGGGAAAGCAGATTCCCTTAACAACCACGTGACTGACTTAAAAACTGCAGTGATTTACTTAACAATTGTAGCCGGAAAGGTCATAAAAATAGGCGAAATTCAACAGAAATCTTGGGCTCAATTGTGGTTGTAAGTTGAGGACTACCAGTATTGGGGTTTCACTATTTGTGAATAGTTCTGAAAGTAAGTCTCTTTTCACTGTAACAGAATAAACAGGCTGCAGTTTGCCGCCTTGTGTGATAATGGTCTATGTTGCAGCAGGAAGAAGCAATTCCATCATTAAATTAGGCCAGTTGACAGTTTGGCCATCATCCTGACATTTTTATATATATATATATATATATATATTTTTTAAACAAACTTTATTGATTATACAACTAAAATGTCAAACAAACACATACACAACACACAGAAAAAAGAAAAAAAAACATTAAGAAACTAGCAATTCTATTATCGACAGTCTATGTATGGTTCCTTGTTTGTTATCAATATTGGTGACATATTTACAAATACATCTTATTGCGAGTATATAATTACTACTTCTTTTAACATTTTTATATTTTTTAATTGCTTTTTATAATTACGATATTCATTTTAAGCCCTGTTTTGTGACTTCATTTTAAACTTTGAATATTAAATAAACTTTTGTTTTATAGAACCCAGCAGGATGTGTTTAAGACATGTATCAGCAAATAAGATTGTCAATACTTTGAAATCTACCTATTATACTATGCAAAAAGTATGCTCAAACTCAAAGTATGCAGTTCTAAAGGTATTAGCCCCTTTTCATTTGTGATTTTGTATCATTTTCCATAGTTTTCCTCTTTTTTTCCCAGTCTATGGAAGTTTTATTACATTGGATATCTAATAAAGATAGGATGCATGCACTGACTTGCATGAGTGTTCTTGAAATCAAACATCTGAACTGGTTATCGAAACCGGTTTTATAACTGTAGCAGAAAATTTATATTGCAGGCAATAGATTACAGGAATTGATGACATCTAAGTCCTACTAGTAGGAGAATCAAAGAATGCACATTTACTATACAGATAGTCCTCATTTAGTGACTGTTCAAAGTTATAGCGGCACTAAAAAAAAGTGACATAACCATTTTTCAGAGTTACCACCTTTGTTGCATCCCCACGATCATGTGATGAAAATTCACATGCTTGTCAACTAGTTCACACTTACGACTTTTGCTGTGTCCCCAGCTAATGTGATTATTCCCTTTTTGCAACCTTCTGACGGGCAAAGTCAATGGGGAAACCAGATTCACTTAACAGCGGTGTTACTTACTTATCAGCTGCAGTGTGCTTATCATTTACAACTGTGGTTGTAAAATGGAGCAAAACTCATTTAACAAATGTTTCACTTAACAATAGAAATTTGAGGCTCAGTTGTGGTTGTAAATTGCAGACTACCTGCATTAACAACAGTTGCAACATCCTGGGGTCATGGGGTTGCCAGTTGTGATCTTCTCAGCCAGCTTCCAGTAAGCAAAGTCAATAGAGGAAGCAGGATTCACTTATGATTATATAATTCACTTAACAACTTAAAAGTGCAGTGATTTGCTTAACCATGATGGAAAACGTTGTAAAGTTGGGCAGGGCTCAGTTAACAACCCCCTTGCTTAACAACAGAAATTCTGATTTTATTTGTGGCTGTACATTGAGGACTATCAGTTATGGGCTAGCCAACATCTGGCTATCAGACATCTGACGATCTAAAGCTATATGGAAAATTATTATTTGAAATATTATCACTGCTCAACACTGGCTATATACAGCCAATAGAGTTTGGATTGGACAAATGTGCCATAGTCACCATCAAATGGGGGGTGGGGGGGGTGAAAACTCAAAATTCCCTATGAAAAGTCTGGATGAAGGCAACCACTACAAATATTTGGGCATCCTTCAAGCTGACAACACAAAGCAGACTGAACTCAAAAAAAGGCCAGAAATGAATACATCAAGAGAGTAAAGATCTTAAAGTCCAAACTCAATGGACGAAATAGCATCAAGGCAGTTAGCACCTGGGTAAATCCAGTTATTAGATATATAGCATGGATAGGAGTCTCAAGCAAAACTAAAAGTCCTGGATAAGAAGACTAGAAAAATATGAAACATGCCCTTCATCTTAGCAGCAATGTTGGCAGACTTTATTTACCAAGGAAAATAGGTGGATGTGTAAAGTTGCAAGTGCATCAGATGGTTGAATAAAAAAAAAGGGTATTGGAAGAGTATCTGAAGGGCAGTGAAGAAGATGCACCAAAGCTAATATACCAGGAAAGGTTACTAAGTACTGGAGAGACCAAGCAGGCCTGCAAGAAAGACTAAATAAAGAACATGAAAGAGACATGGGGAGATAAAGTATTACATGACCAGTACATTAAAAAAAAAAAAAGCAGACAAAGCAGATAATAACAAGACTGCAATGGCTAAGAGCAGAAAAGTTGAAGAAACAAAAATACTGAAGGTAGAACCATCTTTTACCTGCAATGCTGATATACAAAGGATTGATCATTATTAGAAGAGCTTCATCACAAATGTGAGTTATGAAGATACCTGATGTATCAATAAATGTACTTTGTTATGGATGTTTTGTGGAACTATCTATCTGCATCCACATAGCCACAAATCCACCTCTGTGCATGAGACAGGACAGAAAAGTAAAAGATGGTTATTTTTCTAACCCATCTCGTAGTGGTAAGCTGCTTATCAGTTCATGAGTCCAGGCAAGAACGGAGGGAAACCTCCCCCAACCCCTCAAGGGTCAATTTAGTGACCAATCAGGATTACAGATGTAGCCACGTGACATGAACTACATTTCCCAGGATACCTTTAACTACATTTACCATGATGCATTCCCTTAAGGGAATAGCTCACAATTCTTAAGTAACTAACCAATTCCCATAGACTGGCTGGGATAGCACATACGTGCGTGCAAAGTGTGTGCACATGCACAAAGCACGACCACAAGCCACACCCACTGAACTGGTGGTAAAAATATTTCAAACACACCACTGGTCAGGGTCATTGGGAGGTGAACTGCTGGTGGTGGGGCTTGTGTAGGTTGGTTACGGGTCAGTGCTGTCTCTGGTTGGCTGTGAAGTTGATTTGGATTCTGTAGGGTTCATAGGCTGGTTGTACATCCATGTGTCTGTTGATAGAATTGCTTGTGGAGTGCCCGGCTTTGGTGAACACACAAGCGGGGTGGCTAGCGTGGTTAGTTAAATGAAAGCCTACAATATGGTGGGAAGGAGGTTTTCGTAAGTTACGCATATTGATTGGCCCTGAGCCACATCCATGCACGCAGAATACAGTAACAGCTGTGATAGATTCCAAGAATCCACCCTACCCGGATGTTTACGAAGATCTAGAAGATGTTTTTAGTGAAAAAGAGTGCGAGTCTTTACCACCTCATAGTCCAACAGATTGCGCAATTGACTTGATCCCTGGGGCAAAATTCCCAAAACCGCGAAGATGGACAAAATGTGACAATATATAGAAAAAAAATCTGTATCATCTGGGGAAGCTGATCACGCTATTCCGGAGATCACGCTGTTCCGGAGTGCGCCGTCAACGCTGGAAATGCTGGATGATGATGATTTTTGTGTTGCTCTACCTACCATCCAAGCAAAATTCTGGACATGCTATGTCGATGACACCTTCATCATCATCAAACACTCCCAAATTGAAGAAACATACCACATGCTCAATAACATGAATATGGGATCAAATTCACAACGTGAAGAGGAAACGGACAACAGATTCCCATTCCTCAACATCGTCATAAGGAGATTAGACAATGGAAACCCACATTTACCACAAACCCATGCACACAAACCAGATCCTCAGCTTCGCAAGCAACCACTCCACTGCACACAAAAGCAGCTGTATCCAAACCACAGGACAGGACACACTGCAGCACCACAACACTAAGAAAAAGCGAAAGAGAAACAGGTGCTTGACGTCTTTCTCCATAATGGCTATCCAAAAATCTTCATACCCCAACCCCACCCAAACCACAACACATCACACAGCCCATCACCACGCAAAAACTAACCCTACCATATACAAAAGGGGTGTCAGAAATGACAGCCAGAATTCTTCAACCACTAGGCACAGCAATAGCCCACAAACCCACAGCCACATTCCGCCAGGAATTATCCAGAACCAAAAAGATGAAAGAAACAATGTAATCTACAAAATCAACTTTAAGCAATCAATTCTATGTGGGAAAAACACTTGTCAATTAAAAAACAAGATCAACAAAGACCAGCTGGCAATTAAACGCTAAGATCCCAAATCTCTTAATTTCTACTCATACTGACACCAAACAGAACCATTTGGAGCAACACAAAAATCATTGGCCACACTACCACCCGCCATGCTGAGTTCATCCAAGCCTGGCACTCCACAAGCAATTCCATCAACAGACACTTTGACCTACAACCAGCCTACGAATCCCTCAGAATCCAAATCAACCACTTAACCAACCACAGACAGCACCGACCCTCAACCAACCAACCTAAGCTCCCCCCCACCAGTTTACTTTCCAATGACTTGACCTGATGTAACCTCCCCATTCCCTTAACTGTGGTAAGAGAGGTCATAAATGGGTACTCACTTTAAAAATCTCACATGACAGAAATTTTGAGCTCACTTATGGTCGTAAGTCAAGGACTACCTGCATTCTGACTAGCAGGCTCCAGGCAGACCGCCTTCTTTGCCTCTGTTCCCACTCTGTGTAACCTTCTCCCACTGGAGGTGAGTCAGGCCTTCATACTCCTGTCTTTCCGAAAAGCTGGTTCTGCAGCTTTGCGTGGGAAGCCCAGATGAGGTTGTAGCCATTGGACCCGTCCTGCCTTGAGAACCCGTCCTTCACCCTTGAATTAATTTCTAACAGCGTTTATCCTTGGCCTTTTTAATTTTTTTTTACCTTTTGTGTATTATTTTAATTTTTTAATGCATTGCCCAGACTCCCTCTGTGAAGGAGATGGGTGGTTTAAATATGAGATAGTTATATTGCAAGAATATAAGTAGTCCTCAACTTACAATAGTTCCTTTAGTGACCATTCAAAGTTAGAATGGCTCTGAAAAAAAGTGACTTGCGACCATTTTTCACGCTTGCAGCCATTGCAGCATCCCCCTGGACTTGTGATCAAAATCCAGAAGCTTGGCACATGTATGGTGTTTGCGTTGTCCCAGGGTCACATGATCACCTTTTGTGACCTTCTGATAAGCAAAGTCAATGGGGAAGCCAGATTCACTTAACGAGGTTACCAATTTAACAACTGCACTTAGCAACCATAGCCTAAAGTTATAAAGTGGGACAAAATTCACTTAATGACTGTCTTGCTCAGCAATAGATATTTTGGACTGAATTGTGGTCATAAGATGAGGGCTACCTATAATTTGAAGTTTCTAAAAGCAGAGTGAAGCAAGAACAAATAAAAGAAAATAAAATGCAGAGAGTATGAAAAAGATTTTATTCTCAATAACAAAAAGGGTAGGTTGCAGAGAAAAAAGGGGTGCAAAGAGTTGGTTTTATAGAATAGAATAACAGAATTAGAAGGGTTCTTGGAGGTCTTCAAATCCAACCCCCTGGTAAGGCAGGAAACCCTAATATATTTCAGACAAACTCTTCTTAAAAACTTTCAGTATCCCACAACTTTTGGAGTCAAGTCATTCCACTGAATAATTGTTAGGAAATTTCTCCTTAGTTCTAGGTTGCTTCTGTCCTTGATTAGTTTCCATCCATTGCTTTTTGTCCAGCCTTTAGGTGCTTTGGAGAATAGCTTGAGTCCTTCTTTGTGCTAGCCCCTGAGATATTGGCACACTGCTATCATGTCACCCCAGTCCTTCGTTTCATTAAACTAGACATACCCAATTAATACTTCATGTGATCTAGATTCTATCCCTCTGTTAATGCTGCCTAGAATGGTATTGGCTTTTTGGTAGCTGCAGTACACTGTTGGCTCCTATTTAAATGAAAAATAATAAAACTCTTCTTTCAACATAAAACACAAGAGAAAAGTCAAGGAAATGATTGATCTATTAATGGGAGAAAGTGGCAAGAAGATGTAAAGCAACAAAGAGAAAGCAGACCTACTTAACTCATTTTTTGCATCCATCTTTACACAAAGCGGGGGGGGGGGAGAATCCAACCTATCAAAAACAGTACTGTAAAAATAGATTAGTTAAATAGGCATAAACCAGTAAGTGAGCACCTGCCCACCCTAAACAAATTCAAATCACCAGGATCAGGTGGATTACAGAAAAGGTTCTGAATTATTTAATAATGGAGATCACATTCTTCCACACCCTTAGTGTGAATTCAGGGGTGTGATTTGTGTACATGTGAGTTTAATAACTCCATCATATGCTGTTTGGGATGCTCCTGCCTTGATCCTGAAGTGTATGAAATCTGGAAAGAAAGCTTGCCCTCAGATAAGTAGCCCTCTTCCTCCTCATGGCTCCGAGCTTGGCAATTTGGTTGCAAATGTTTCATCCCCATTCGAGGAG